AAGACCTACAAGTTGAATCTTCAGAGCTGCCCATAGAACAGTCTGCACCAGCACTACATATGCACACAAAATATACCTGACACACCAATATGCTCTTGTAGGAGTTTGAAGCTGCTATCAATTCACGTTCTTCACTTTTGAGCAATCAGAAGTATACACAGAAAAAAGATTCTGAAGCTGCAGGAAGCAATCATCTCTCTCACAATGCCCTCACTTTAAAAACAGTCATCCACATCCTTAGCTTGCCTTGCCTATAAGCTGAGGTGCAACTTCAGCAGGAATCCTCACAGCAGAACATTATCTCAGTCAGCTTGCTGCAACTACTCACATTAGTCGACTTAGCATGGGCTTTTGTTGCATTTAGCTTCTGTTTTAACGGTCATCACAAGCATCAGCATCTAGTACAATGCCACAGCAGCTTTTAGGACATCTTCCATGGATGACGTGTACCACTTCTGCCCTTCAGTGTAAGTCCTACACACTGTACTGCCTCATTGCCAGAACTCTGCAGGGTAACATCATATACTACACAGTGTTACTCAACTGCAGATCCTTTCAGAACCTCATCCACACATACTTGTGTATGTGTGCCAGTATGCACAACCCAGCACAGTATTCATGGGCTACAAAGATACTGTCCTGCTCTGCAGACAAGAGTATAAAATGTTACGTAGAAGACTACAATAATATGCAGTTCTTTTACCCGCATGAATATTTGAAATTAGACAAAGCTGTCACAGACAGCACAGCAGAGGAAAAAAATATATATTTATATATATATATAATATAAAATATTATATATATATAGCTTTCAAATGTTTATCTAAAAGGTTTTCTGCTGCCTGAAAGGAGCAAGAAAGAATACCACAAACCTAGTCAAATAAATAAGATCGGTGTGATGAACAGACAAGATAGGCAACTAGGGGAGGCAGCCTATTTTAAGCAGGTCTTCATTAGCAAAGCTTCACAACACTCACAAGTACTAATTATTCCTTTTTTAAAATCTCAGCTACTGGATATAATAGAAAATCCTCAATTTTCAAAGACTATTCTTAGTCATGTTAAAAAGAAAAAGAAATCTATCATATTTTATTCTATATTTTAGGTGTCTGCTGTCACCCTAGTATGATTTTTGTTCAAAAGAAGTGCCTGTACAACAGTCTGTTGTGCTGTCTGACCTCAACCAGAGCTTCAAGGGAACAGTTTCCAACTTCAGGTATAAGGAAACATGAGTTTGTCCAGAAAGCAGATAAACTCTTATAAACCAAGCTGTTCAAATTTGTACTGAAATACCACCCCTGGGCTCACTTAATAAGCAAAACCTCATTCTTTTTGGCATCATGCAATGAAGGGGGGGGGCGCGTAAAAAAACATACCTTAGTCACTTTATACAGACTAAAAGTAACTGTAGATTTTTGGGGAGAGATGGAAACAGCACTCACAGTACATTATAGTCACTGTAATTCTAGAAGTTAAATTCTTGTACGATGAGGGGTTTTGTTTTGTTCTGAGCATCAGCATTACTGTATTTCATAAATATTGTCATTAAATAAAATTCCATACAAAGACTTAACCAACCTGTTCAGACTCACAGAAGAGCAGGGAGAGTTTGCTAGGTAAATCATCTCTTCATCATGACAAAAATTGAAGAGCAGACAGAAGAAGGAAGATAGGCAAAAGAAATAAGAGGCTCAGGCAGTACTGCTGTAATTGCTTTTAGCTGAAGAAAGCAAAGAGCTTTGGGCAAGAAGGCACCTTGCCCTGCTGGAAGGCAGTCAGTCAGTATACCGACTACTCCAGAGTATCACATGCCCATCAAACTGGTGAGACTGATCACTGAGCACAGCCCTTACACATACCTGGTTCTCAAGCATCCCCAACTTAAAACTACGCTCTGTGCAAAGAAACAAATATAAACAGCTCAAGTCACAACATCTTGCATACATTTCAGTATTTCCATAAAGGCAGACAGGAAAAATTCTCTCTGAAGTACACCGAATCACAGAGGAAGCCTGACTTTGAAACAGCAGGAGTTCCAAGAGGGGGAGGAGGGGGAAAACAGATGGTAGTTCAGGGGAGCAAAGTGTGGCAACATAAAACCATTCATTTGCTTAAGTGTACAGGCAAGTGAAGATCCTGGATTTATCTCTGATCCATATATGGTGTACAAGACCTTAGAAAAATGTTTCATTTGCAGTAAAGTCAGAAGGAATAACAGGAGCACAGCCCTTTTTAGCACTGTCACATGGCCTCCAAGTTTAGAATTTTTTAAAAAGCTTCTTAAGGAGACAAAGTTGATGTGAAGCAGTCATGTGAGTCCAACAACAAGCAGAATTGGGGTGCTAAGATTACCTGGGAAGGGAAGCAGAATGCCCTGCAGTCAAAGCACTCCACACTGGAAGCACTGGTTTGACTGCTAGCCACAGGGAAACGCTCTGGTCTTCCAAGTTGGGTGCTCTCCAAAAATACAAAGGAAAGGATATCAGGTAAAAGTTCCCTTGATTTTTCTTAAGCATTTATTCTCAGGAAAAATGTATTACTGTTCATCATTCCCATTCAAATTTAATAAGAAGTGAAACAACCATTTTGAACTGGTTGGGGGAAGTACAAGACCTGACTAGCATCCTCTTATTAAAGGAGGACAGATGGGAAAAGTCTGCAACCACAAGTATGGGGGAAAAAAAGATAATCACAGAATCAGGGAATGGCCTGGGTTGAAAAGGAACACAATGATCATTTGTTTCAACCCCCTGCTATGTGCAGGGTCGCCAACCACCAGACCAGGCTGCCCAGAGCCACATCCAGCCTGGCCTTGAATGCCTGCAGGGATGGGGCATCCACAGCCTCCTTGGGCAACCTGTTCCAGTGCATCACCACCCTCTGAGTGAAAAACTTCCTCCTAAAAATAACTGAAAGTAATTAGATAAAATTTAGCATTAATACAGGGGAACAGACACTTGGAAGATATTACCAATACCAGCATAAGATAAACAAATTTCAATATAGAAAACTCTTGCTGGAATGCTCCTCAGCATAATACAAGGAAGTGCTATTGCTCCCCAAAATACTCAAGGAAAACAGTGTCAGCATACTTTATTAGGCACCAAAGAACCTAACCACCTGGCCATCAGACTTATAGCAATACAGAATAGGAATCAAATGAGAAGAACAGACTGAACTCTCCAGTTTAACAGTAATTTCTGTAGAATCTGATACTCAGTCTTTCCAATCTTTCTGCAGCCCCACCTAGAAGGGGGGAAACAATTATAGTTCACTTTGTATTAAAAAAATCTTTCCAACAACAAAAACCAAAAGGTTTGCAAAATTCAACTACCTAGACAGTTAATTTTAATCAGAGTAACATCTCAAACATATGCAGAAGCTGCATTGAATTCCAACATATTTTTAACAGTATTAAAGCAACAGAACTAAGAAAAGTACCACACCATCCATATGCCTCTGCAGTCACTGGAACAAACTCTTATAATGTCCCATTAGAAGAAACAAAATCATTTCTCCCCATAAAGGTGATACCCGTTTGTGTAAGACACATTTCTTCATTTACTGTTCTGTGACAGAAGCCCCGAACCCACATCTTTTCCTGGCATCCACTCAACACATAGAAAAAGCAGAAACGTCCATTTCTGCTGGTGAGAAGAGGCAAAGCAACCACTTGTGAGAGTAGGAATGAAATAACAGGACAGTCTGTCAGAACAGTAACGTCATCCTCTTCAAAAAAAGGTGTTGGGAGGGAACAAGGAAGTCTCACTGTCATTAGAAAAAGAAAAAACAAACTTATTAAGGTCTTCAAAGCCATGTTTCCAAGAGTTGGTTTGTAATTACTTGCATGCCATTTTGACAATGCAATTTCTTAAGCAGCAAAGCGCGACAGCTCCTGAACCAACCCATCAACTCACCTCACACTGTTGATATCAAACTGTATCATTTATGGGCCTTGGCCTAGGAGCTGTGCTGATTCCAGTTCTTCAGAAAGTCCATGTAACAAACAAACCTGGGACAGTTTCAGCTGTTAGCACTGTTGTTCAGATTACGCCTTTTTCAATTTCCAATGAAAAACACTTGTCTCAGCTAACCCTCAAATCATATTCATTCCTTCAGGGATCACCAACAAGCAAACCAAGGTATCTGCTTTTCTCAACAGGCAAAAAAGAAGCTAGGGAAAAAAAGAAAAAAAAAAAACCAACATTTTCATCATTTCTACTTGACCAAATCCCAATGCTCTGCAGACAGGGCTGGAGAGATGAGAGTGAGAATCTAATCCAGTTCACAGTATGCTACTACTGACAGAGTCGGTCTGCTGATGGTTTGTTATGCATCTCCCTCACTGCAAAGCAAGGAAAAACACCCCTGAATCCATGCTGTTTATTCTGATTTTGTTATATAGGAATAATGCTTTTGGTCCTTCCTTTGAAAAAGATACCCTGGATTGGCAGCTCATCACTCACACACACACACACACACATAAAGAAACAGGTTCAGCTCTGGCAGAAGCAGCAGTATTAGTAAGTTTTTTCCTGGAATTTCTCAATCTTTACAGAAGGCTCCACTGCTTTCAAAGCATCCCACAGCAGAGTTGCAACACAGAGTCACAAAGAGTGGAGATGGAAGACGGGAAGAAGAAAGCAAATCTTTCATGTTAAACAAGATAGCTTTTCTGAGACAGAAAAAAAAAATGAGATGTCAACAGCCAGGATTTTATTCACTGGATATAAAACAGTGAGGAGCTGGCATCTGGTAAAGAAGATGTAAAAGATTACACAAAATGAGTCAGGAAGCTCTAATGCACAAGGAATCTTAAAGGGAGCAGAAAGAGGAAAAACAGAAATACTGCAAGCCTATCTTCTGAAATTCCATTAGTAGCTGGGATTACAAAACCTCTAAAACCATACACTCTAAAACCACACCATGCTTTTCCATGTTTCCTGACATTCTGGGGCAGATCAGAAGAGCGTCACTCAATACTCATACAGTTATATTAGGTACAATATAAACAAGAAGAAAGTGGTTTTAGACATCTTTATTATTTAATAAACACAAAGGCAGGAGTTATCACTCTAAACAACTTATTAAGAATCCAAGATGCCAGCTGCAAAGCCCAGAGCACAACAGTGGTACGCTAACAACGCTGATACACAAGTAGGATTAAAATGCTGACTTAATAAAAACAACAGATTTTGGAGAGTTTTCTCTGTGTGTGGTTTTTGGTTGGATCTTTTGGTGGTTGTTGTCCCTTTTTTTCTTTCTTGTTCTTTAATTGTTACTATGGAAGGGAGGGGGATGAGTGAAATCATTTTGTTTCCCTAGAGACAGGGATTGGGACAATAACATTAGTAAGCTCTCAGTACCTCTGTTATTTTACTAGAAGTATTCAGTTTTCACAAGTGTTTAATGGTCTTAAATTTGTGTTACACTGCAGAACAAAACGACCAAGAACTGCGGCTGAGGAGATGCACCTTTTAAGGAAGGCACAAACCATACCAAACCTTCAGCAGACTAGAAGCCAGAAACGCACAGGTATTTTCAACTAAGAGAAGTGCTGGCACAGATCTCAAGCCACAGATGTTAGTATTTATTTCTAAGACTCACAGATCTTCAGCTTACAACCTCCAGATTGCTCCTGTTAAGCACGCAGTTTATGCCCAAAGATCTGTACCTATGACAACTGCTCCATTTTGAAGTCACCATATGCATACACACACACTTCCACTTTTTTTTTTCCTGTAAGAAACATTTGTCACATGAAAACAGTTCCTTTAAACTTCAAAGTGCACAAGTGTTCCTGCAGTTGCATAGTTTAACATATGTATCAGACTGTTTCCTAATAACATCAGGTCATAAATTTAGCATTTCTCTTGATAACCACAGAAGAAGCAAGACAAAGTACTCTGATATTCATGGAAAAAGAAATAAAGATATTAAAGGCATCCAACTGACAGCCAAATTTCAGAAAGTCCAGTGAAAATGGCTCACTACATAAGAATGTACTTAAACAGCACCATCTGAACAATTATTTTTAGAATGTACTAAAGCTGCGATGCATTCCAGCATATTAAGAAGTCACAACTGCCATGAAGCAGCAGCCTCAGGGCTACGTTAAGACCACTCAACAATGTAAGCACGCTGGTGCATTTAATGAAAGATCCAGGCAGTAGTTAAAAACAGTGTTAGCACAGTAACCGATGTAAGAAATTAATTGGATTCAAGCACAAGTGTCTACTTTACTCCAACTGCCAGAAGCAGAAAACAGAAAAATAGAAGAGCTCTTTACCTGCCAGCCCTTCTTCAACTCCGGAGTCAGAACAAAGCTTTCCTCTTTCCTAGTTAGAACGTTAAAATGTCCTATTGTTCAAAATTAATTTCCTACAGTGAAAAGAACAAGAGTAGACACACACGAATGTGTCGTACACTACTGCCAAACATAAGGTTTTTATTTGAGATCTCGCAAGACATTCAAGTTTGACTACAGAATCCCTGAGGGAAAAAAATTAAAGCATTCTGCTTTCTAACAACTTTTCCATCTTGAAGAAAAATCTATGTTTTTCCACTTTCAGCACTTCCAATATACCTTTTTTCTACAGAAGTAACACAGAACCTCAAAAGACCCAATGCTTTTTATACAGCCGTGGACATTTGTCCTTTTTTTTTTTAAAAAAAAAAATAAAATTGAAGAGGTAGAAGCCTAATTCAATACAATTTCCATAATTCCTCATCAATATGCTTTGCAATCATTAGACCGTAAGTAGAAAAGGCTTTACAAACATACCAATCTGAACCACAGCAGAACCCAGTTTCACATGGCATCTCCTATACAGAATTTAGCAAGATCTCATCACGTTATGAGACTTGTAAACTTCTCAGGTTGGATTTACCCATTTGATCTTCATCAGATAGCAAGATGCCAGCTTTAGGTTTTTATAAAAACATCTTTATGATGTCGTATCAAAAGGACCATGGGAAGCCAAACGCACGCCCTACAGAATCACGTATTAGAAGAAACATTCTGCCTACGCTTCCATTTCTAGGGTGGCTCTGTATGATGGAAAAAGGAGTCATTTCTTTCCCAATCCCATTTTTGTCAGGAGATCCTGCTTAAGGAAGGCCAAGATCCAAACCCAGTCATCTTCCAGCAACATAAATGGCTCTCATAATCTTCTGCCGAAGGCTTGTGAAGCAGTATAAAGGTTACAAGGTGTCCTGAAGCAAGTTGGAGGGAATGAAGAAGAAGAGAATAGTCATAAGATGCACCAAAGTAATAATGCACGTAACATAGTTCCAAATGACTTCATTCAGCATGAAAGAGGACCTGAAAAACTCCTTAAACTTCATTGCCAGTTTTCAGGTGACATCATTTGCTGAAAATCAAAAATTTAGAATAAACTCCCTTTGTCAACGACATGGTTGGAGAAAGAAAAATCTGACTTCAGGCTACTGATGTTTGCAAGGAAGAGGCTGTTGCTCTGCACAGCATGAAGCAAGGAAGGCAGAGTTTTCCCAAAGCTGACTTTACTGATCCCTTGTCTGGGCCTCAGGAATCGCCGATCGAGTCGGTTAGCAGCACATCCCTTCCCTACTCAGAGCATCCCAGTCTGTTTCCTTCACAAAGAAACAGGACTTAGACCCAACAGCCAAAGACTCCTCTGAAGGAAGAGCATATTTACACATTCAAAAATGGGGAACACTGCCACCACTGGGAATCAAGCAGGATTTCAAATCCTCTTGGTGACCTCCACCTCACTGTGTATCCAAAGCTAATGCTGGTGTAAAGAGACAGGGAGGAGACCAAAGTTACGTGGCACGGGGTCATATACAATCACTGGCCTTATTTATGCCCTCGCCACCAATTTCTGCGACTTTGTCCCCTGCATAGAAAAGGGACAGAAGAAGATCATTATCAGAGCCTTAAAGAACTCCTGTGCAAATATGACCCCATGTACAGCAAAATTATTCAGAGGTGTAAAAACATTCTTTCCAAGCACCCAGGGAATTTTTTTTTCTCCTCTCTCTCTCTCCCCCCCGTTTTTTTCTTTAAACCCTCACTCTCTCTCCTCTCAGCAGCCAAGAGAAGTAGAAGACAACATCAACAAAAAAAAAGCATAAAGAAACAGTATAAAGTTCATCCTCCACACCTGAGTGGATGGCAGTTTAAAGGGGCCCTACCTACCTGCAACCCTGTTGTTTGCTTCAAGAACTCTGTTTGCCCAAGGAAAAAGAGACGAGCAAATCCTGGAAGCAGATCCTTCCCCAAAGGAAGTTTCTTTCTGAGTCTGCAACCTGGAGCTTTTGCTTGAAACTCAGTCCTCTGAGTGGTTTCTTTCTTCAAACTTTCACACTGGTTCTTTACTTTTGTGGGCAGCTGGAAAAAGAATGAAGCCGAAGGCTGAGGCAGGGACTCCATACTTCCAGGATAGGGAGGCAGAAAGACTGGAGGGGAAGGAAAAGGCTAGTTGGTAACTCCTTGAATAACGACCTGCATTCCCTCATTCTTGGCCACACAGAGACATACACAGCGTCACTGCAATAGGGAAGGATGACAAGAGATGAGGACTAGACATGCAGTTTTTTCATGCTCTGATGCAAAAAATAAAAAATAAAAAAAAAAAAAAAAAACCACCCCAAAGCTGAATTGTTAACTTTCAAGACTGTTAAGACATCTACCAATAGATGAGAACAATAAGATTTTTTTGTCCAGAAAGTTCTCTCCTTTGTTACAAGAAGATGTAAGGTGGGCAAAAAAAATTTATGAGATTATTTCTGGGAAAAAATTTCCAAGTTTCTCCTCTGTTCTCTCAAGAAAATGAAAAATGGCATCTACTGCAATGTGGAGAACACCTCCCTGTGATCGCAGACAGAAGGCTCTTTAAGAAGCAATCATACTTACCTGGATGTTTCCCTTATCAACGACTTCCTAACCCTACTCCATCTCCTCTGGAAAAGGCCTTATTCCAATCTCAACTTCTCTACTCAACATCGGTGCCTCACGATATTGCTGTAGAAGCTGAGAAACTACCCCAGTTTCCCACTGAGTTTCTCAATTTGTAGGATATTCCCCTTTTCCTGAGGATCTAGCTGCCCTAGGAGTTAACTTTTATATGCAAAATATTAATGAATAAAAGCAGAAATTTTCCTCTTCACAAGTCCTGAAAACTGATAGATTCCAGTGAAATATTATCAGTAGCGTGGAGCCAATGAGCAATAGAATAGTAGAGAAGTGGAAGTGGCAGGACTTAAAACAACTGCATGTACAGCTTTGTATTTGCTTACTGGTTATTACTCATTGCAATAAGCTTTCAAACAGCAGCAGCAGTGCCTGGTGTTTGTATACAGGGTAATTGTTGAGCTGCACATCTTCTGTTTTATCTGCAGTGCTTGCAGGACACCAGGTAAAATGTGATCCAATAGTTAAAGAAGGCAATCTACTCATGCTTGCTGCAATTTCAATTATCATCTCAGGGAAGGTTTACTGTGCTTTTTTTTTTCCTCCCCCCATTCTCTCTTTCAGACTGTATATCTAACCAAAACATTCTGTATAGTTAGATACCCAAACTGCCCTCCCATCCTCAAAAAACAAGTCTTCATTCTGCTACAAATAATATAAAAAAGAAGTTGGAACAAAAGACAGGTTTTGTGATTCAAATAGCTTCAATAATATATTCTCAAAGGGGCATCTTTAAGCTTTTGCAGTTAGAGTAGAAAACAGGAATGCATCATGTGAGATGTTCTTAAAAACTAACAGAATCTGATATCCCACACTAATTACAACAACAACAAAGAATCAGTAAATTAGTTCCAAATATACTACTTGGGTACACAGAAAGATATTCTGCCTCTTGATTCCTCCAAGGACAACAAACACGGTGATATTATTTCAATTTAAGACTGAAGTTTTCGCTCTCAATAGACTATTTTATTTAAAAAAAAAAAAAAAGTAGGATTAATTATCTTTTAGTAGAACTCCATGACATCTGTTTAGCTATTTCCATTTTTAACATGAGACCATGTGTTCCTCCATCTTTCAATTTGACAAGATACTGACTTTTCTATTAAGATCAGCTTTCAAAAGGTTAGAGAGTTGGGTTCAGTCCTCTCATTCCACATGCATATTTCTGTGACAGTTTGTCTGCAAAGAAGAGGAACAGACCAAAACATAAATGTAATTGGCCATTAGATGTCCCTAGGATTATGTTTATGCTCTTCTTCCAGTAAGGCAGGTGGTACAAGATAAAAACAAGAGAGAAAAATATAATGCACAGGATGTGCCCAAAGAAAGAATTTCTATTGCTATCTACTCTCTGACTGAAAAAACAGCAGGACGATACAATTCTCCTCCCAGACGAAACAGTGAATAATAAGGTTCTTTCTTCTTAGGTTGCAAATACCTTGACTCAGTAACTTTTCAAGTTGCTGACCCTTACTTCTTACTTGCCAACACACTTTGTGCAAGCACAATGCCATATACAGCATTACAGGCTTAATCTCAGATGATAGGTGCCAAAGTTGGAAACGCTAGTAATACTCTTAAGATTCCTTTCCAGCTCAAAGCAACAGAAGATATCAGAGACAACTCAAATGAAGTGGCATGACCCAGCTTTGTGCAGGCTGCTTGAAACAGGAATCTGTCCACGTCCCAGTGTGATCAAAAGGCTGCCTTTCGAAGGATCCTCTATAATGAAAGATCTCATTCACCAGGAAAAGACAACTCCAGAAAGCCTCTGGTATACGGGCTACTATGAAATCATGTACTCAGGCTTCAGGGGTGCAGAAGATATTACTTCATGTAATTCAACTCATGCAGTAGTTCAGTAGAGGATACAAAAATCCAAGACAACACTTCAGGGAAAAAGGCACCCATGAGAACATCGTGCACTGCTGTTTTCCTCATGAAAACAGATAAGCAGCAGAACAGTTTCTGGGAGATCATCCTGAATTGAGCTACTAGGAATAACTTGTTTGTAAGCTCCTTCCTTGCATCAAGGTCATAGTATTTCTTTTTTCTACGAAGAACCAAACCTTTATTTTTACTTTTTTATCTTTTTGCATATTTTTCTTTCCACACAGACTTGCACTGAACTCTAAAGATTGGTCATGTTTGTGTTGTAGCTTTGAAAAATACCAGCCTGATGTCTATACAAATACAAACTTCACACCGAAACCACTGCATCACTCTGCATTTTGAAGAGATAAATGCTAATAAATGCTCCTTTGTTCTTCTAAGATTAAGAAGAGCAGAACAAATCTTGAACAGATCATCCAAAAACACGTGAATCCCCCGTTACGGGAATTCTGGGAGAGGTTTTTTGCTGCCTCAGCAATCATAATTGATTCCTGCTACAGAAATGGGATGTTAGGCCAGCATAAGGAGCTGAACAGACATGGCTCTTCTCAGTCTGTTGTTTACTGGCCCACCTCAAGTGATGGGATCCTTCCTGTTGGAAAAGGCAAAATTCTGGCTGGGATGACACAGGAACAACTTATGCAGATAATCCCCGGAAGATGAAGTCGGGAAAGGCCTTTATGTCTTCACACGTGAGCATACAGAATGCAGTTACAATAAATGTTTCCATCTTCTCTGAGGGAAGAAAGGGATGTTTGCAGGGTCTTTGCCTTTCCACAGTGACCTAATTGTTGATAGAGACCCCAAGATAACACTGGTTACCTATCAGGAAACACGGAATCCATGCATTTGTTAAGTGGCACAGAGCAGAAACAGCAACACATTTTTTGTTGTAACACTGCAGCTTCAACAACTCCAAGACTTAAGTGAAAGAGCATGGAATGAAAAAGCAAACTGCCTTATCTTACTCAAGATACTTTCATCTCAATCAACTACCTCTCAGTCTCAAAACAAGATGTATACAAGTTTTATATTTATTATCATGCAAATGTTTTAAATTTGAAGTGGTGCTGGTCACATGGAATACTTGCAACTGCAAAAACAGAGCCTTCTCGGTTGAAGAGTCATCATTGCTCTGTTGCTATTCATTGGCTTGGTCCTATCTCTAAAAACACGCAGGCTGCAAACCCGCAGCAGGATCTACACACCAACAACTGGTTGAACTGTTACACAAAATGAACATTACAACAATAAATTTTAGCAAAGTACTTTTCTCTGGCAAACAGCACCAACATGACACAGATACTGAAACAGCAGCTCTACATCACTGGTGTTATCTGTCTAAATTTCAAGCACAACGCTGAGGAAAACGAAAGAGTGGTTTCCCAAAGCTTCCTGCTGAATTTCAGTTTGGGAGAACGGGAGGGGGAAACTGAGGGGACAGAAAGGAAGATGTCATTGAAGATTACAACTATTGCATCAGGCAACATTGCTATCAAGCCTCAGGAAAGAGAGAAGTGGGCCAACACAATTTACCAAAGCGTCGATTTAAAAACAAAATTATCATGCAACCCATCATTAAAAGCTAAACCTCCAGGCAACTGGAATTACCGGAATCATGACTTGCAAAATTTCAGAGTTTCTTTTTATAGTATTTGGCTTTCTTCCAGAAATACTTTGGGTTTAACTTCTTTAACAGCATGCTACACACCACTAAGGGCCACAGTTCTGCCTAGGTTATCACCAAAGGGGTTCCGACCTATTTGAGATGCACACAGGTGACATTCACTGCCAGACCTTTCCTGTTTCCATTTTAAAGAGCAGTAAGAAGCTGTGGCTTCTCCAAATTCAGCAGGACAGAATTCCAAAATTGCATGCAGCTGTCAAAGCACCACACATTTGAGAAATGCTCTCTGCATTTCATCCAGCACACGTAAGAGCAGGAAAATCAAATGATTGGTTGATTTCAGAAAAATAACACTTGGTAAAAATCATTTCCTTTAACACGTGTCAATTCTGCAAAATTAAAATGAGCCATTTGTTAAACAATGATTATAAATATTTCCATTTTTAAAGAAATTCTTCACATTGCAAGAATAACAAAGCTAACTACAGTGATACAGGTTACAGTAATCTAGGTGCTACATACCTCGAATTTATTTGGAGAAATGATACAAAGTATTTCTTAATATTATCTCTGTGTTTTCCCTCTCAGCACTAAATACATGAGTTAGCTGATTTGTTTCAATTTAAATGCTACAAACTCATACAAGTACATTGCACAATTATTTTAGAGCATTCTTTTTCTTAGTTTTCTGTCTTCATATAACTCCTGGGCTGGTTGAAAGACAAGCATTCCTGTGAGACTTGGAAGCTGAAATATTACATGCTATCAATGTGGAGAGGAAAGATCCCAATACTGCTCAACAGCCACACCAGACTGAACGCGGGTGCTGGTTTTGGACTGATTATTTGCTGGGTTGGGTTTTTACTTTTCCCTAAACTGAATTTTCAGGTGAAAA